CGGAGACAATAAATTGTTCGGTGCTGGTCCTGGGGGCAGTGGAATTCGAATACAGTCTAATGGTCTTTTGTTCGGAAAAGAGGGTTTTGCCTCGAAACGATATAGGATTCATATAGGTTCCAGAGCGAAACGTGGCGAAACGTTTCTCATATACGTGCAAGCCAAGCATTCTCGTTCGCGTATACAAAGGTTTACGTTCCTGCTCACGTCACATGCATTAACCTGGGGGTCGTTTGTCAAGCGCGAATTATTAAGCACACGTTACACGCCCGTCTCTCTCTCTCTCTCTCTCTATGCTGTGCGTTCATCAAAGTTGCTGTTAGATTTGCTCAACAACTTTTCCACCTTTTTCTCTTTATAACTGTGTCACACCAAAACTTGTGATATTTTTCTTCGAAGCTCACGTATCTCGTCATCTTTCCGGAAAGTTGGCACTGAGACAGAGATTCTCAAATTACGCAGCCTAAAAGAATCTAACTCTCCTCTGTTATTACTATATCTGTTGGAAAAATAGGGAATTTTTGTTAAAAGATTTCTTTATTTGATCAAATAAATTTTTTTTTCAATGTAACGTAAAATTTAAAATAGTGTATTTCCGTAAAGTAGTGTCTTAAGAGTTAAAATTAGTCTGTTTTCAACTATGTATTAAAGGATTTGCAAGTCGATTGTAGATTTTCGAAAACACAGTTAAAAGTAAAAATAGTGCACTGAAAGTGGAAAGAAAGTGTTTTCCGATGAGCCTGTAAGTTGCTGCTTAAGCGAAGCGAAAGCAGCAACTTACAGACTCCTTGGAAAACTTCTTTTTGTTCTTGGTGCACACGCTGCTTTCTAAATTTGAATTAGTAAAATTCGACTAATTATTAATAGAATTGATCAGCAAAATCAGGAAATAATCAGTGATTTTTATTAAAAGTACTGGAAAAAATTTAATTTTTCGAATTCATAAGGAAATTCTGAATTTTTTTCTTTGTCTCATAAACTATGAAGTTACCAAGCATTCTTATAGGGAGCGTTCACAAATTACGTAACGCTAATTTTTGAAAATTTTGACCCCCCCCTCCCCCCATGTAACACACTGTTACATACATTAGCGCCATTTTTTCTGCTGTACATAACAAATAGCTAGACCCCCCCCCCTCCCCTTTATAATGTTACGTAATTTGTGAACGCTCCCATACGAAACCTTCAATTTTTTTCTTTTAAATATCTTAATTCTTGAACAACTATCATAAAATTATTATCACATAGAAATTAATTGAATTTTAAAAACAGTTGTGTTTAGAATTTTCATAAATAGATCAACTTCAAAGGGTTACAATTTAAAATTTTAGAAAATTTCTATTTTCAATAAATTTAATTAGAAATTTTAAAGAATTTTTTAACTAATTTCAAAAGAATTTGAATTATTAAAGTTTTTCAAAAATCCAAATTTTTTAAAGAAATTTTTTATTTTTTTTTAATTTCAAAAGAATTTCTCAACATATATTTAATTAATTATTAAAACTAATGAATTTACAGAAGAATTTTAGTTAAAAATACTAAAAAAAATTGCATTTTTGAGAAGTTACAAATTATTGCAGAAATTCAATTATTTTCAAAAACTTAAAATAATTCTCGTGAAAATTTTCATTATCTTTATATATAATAAAATTCTTCCTCGAAATTCAATTATTTTTAAAAATTTTAACAAAATTCTTAGCAAGAATTCAATTATGAATTATAAAATGTTTAAAGAAATTAAATTATTTACTACATAATTTTCATAAAATATATGAAAAAAATCAAATATTTAAAAGAAATTTTAGAAAACTCTTCACAATTTTTCAATTATTTTCACAATTAACGAAAATCTTTATAGTAATTCAATTATTTAAAAAAATGTTTTAATTTTTTATAAATTTCTTCCCCAGAATTCAATTATTTTCATAAATAATAAAACTTATTGCAGAATTTCAATTATTTTTAATACAATTTTAATCAAATTCCTCGAAAAATATAATTATTCTTAAATATTTATTAAAAATTGGTCAAAAGAATTCAATTATTCTCGTAGAATTTTCTAATAAAAATTGATTTAAAAATTAATTTTAGTAAAAATTTTTAGATAATAATTGAATATTAAAAGCATTATAGCGTGAATTTTTAGAAATAATTGAATTTTGGAAAGGTTTCAAATTAAAATCTTTAAAAATCTGAATGTTTTATACTTTTAACTGACTATGTAGAATTCATTTTGTTTAAATTTTAATTGCATTTTTTTAAAAATTATTTAATGTTTTTATTTCCCAATAGGTACATAGATAGTTAATTGAAAAGTTTCTGAGGAATCGAAATTTCCTAAAATTAAATTGTAAACAAATGAATTTGAAAATTGTGAAAGAACTTTTTCCAAAATTAATAAAAATAATTGATTTAAAGAAGAATTTTAGTTGAAAATTCTAGAAAATAATAATCGAATGGAAATGATGAAAATAATTTTGAAGAATTTACAGTAACAATGGTGATATTATATAAAATCATGATTTTATCTTTCGATCATCTTTAATTATTATAAAACATGAAGAAATATTCTTATAAGTTTTAATGAATTTTAAAAAGGTTTGAATATGAAATTAGGGAAAAAAGGGAAAAACAAAATTAAATATTTTGGGCAACCCTTAATATGTAACTGTCATAGCAACTAATCAACCATTGCGGATTGATTTACCCCTACGGGTGTTAATTTAATCATGCACATAGCAAATCTAGCTGAAAAACCGACTAACATAACCTAGATTTCAGTGACAGTTCCTCAGACAGTTCAAATAGAGTTCTCAATCAGAAGTTTGTAGCTGTTATTTGAAGAGCGCTTCCTTCAGTGCAGTTCTTGACCTTATACTAAGTCTATATTTGGACTAATGTAAGTTTTTTTTTAAAACTGTGCCCTATTAAAATAATTAATATTAAACTATTAATTTCTTAACTGGTCCTTATATTAACTGATGGTCTTTAAAGAAAATCGCTTGTCTCATTAAAAAAAACAAATAAAATTCAAAATACCTAACTTCTCTTACGTCAGGCTCTGGTTAAAAACTGCATAAATTTGACGTGTTTATAGAAACAGAGTGATTCGCTTCTTTTTGAGTTTCGACTTTTTTGTCGCATTCGATAAGGAAGGCGTACTAAAAATTTGGAAACACACAGATTTATCTTCTTTTTTTTAATGTATGGCTTAGACTAGTTGAACAGGAACATATCAAACTACGTGTTTGAACGAATTTTAATCCTGTTTATGCTTACTTGATTCCCGTACATAATTTTAAGTGTCAGAGAAAAATATAGGAAACAGAAACACTGTTTTTCGTAATATTTTTCTCCTCAAAATTTTATTGATCAAAAATGGTTTGAATTGTTTTACATACAATATAGCAACAAAACACAATCAATATCAATGCCTCGAAGAAATTTATTAAGTGCAAAAAGAAACGTGATCAGAGAACATAAAATTGTGAAAGAAAGATTCAAAGAAACGAGACATATACATGAGTGAAATTGCCAGAGTATAAATCTAGCCCCCAGTATAGATGTATATATTCGAATTGGTCCAACCTAATATTTGTACAAGCTTATATAGTAGGAGGGATTTTCATTATAGATACCGCTCGCAGTATTGCCCATGATTCTCGGGTAAGACAGGAGCGAAGGAAATAACATAGTCAAATGTCTCGATACAGATTTCACGATGCAGTGCGATAGTTGAGAAATGATCAGAATTTAGGGTGTTTGGGCTTTGCAGAGGTCAATACTGAGAGACCTCGAAGTAAGAGAGAGAGAGAGAGAGTGAGAGAGAGAGTGAGGGAGCACATCTTGTAAGAGAGGTCAGCTACTCGGAAAAGAGACGTCGACGTCCTTCTCTCCCTCAGCCCCTCTTCGCTTTTTATTTTCACAACCTTCTGCTTCATAAAACTTACTTCGCAAGCCTACCTCGGGCAGCGGATGACCCACTTTGCCAGTCTTACGTTCCTTCAACTTCCACTACCGAGTCTACTTAAAGCACTCACGAATATATTTCCAAAACTTGACAAACGCATTTTTCATTTCGTTATTTGACATTTATTCTTTCTGCATTAGAATTATTTGTTTCGAATCTCTTTTCTTTTCTTTCTGGAATATTATTCCATTATTGTACATGACAATTTTTTATTCTGACAATATATAAAATTTTTGCTTTTATTTTCGCTCTCTTCTACTTTGAAATTTTTGACGCGCTTCCTAAGAAAAGAGTTCAGAAAACTATATACGGAAAAAATACTCAACTGTCCTTATATATTAATCTGAATTTTATTTCACCGCTTGTGAGAAAGATTCAAATTAATGAACTATACTGTTGTACAAAATAAAAAATTATCTATATTAATGAATCATTTCACAGAAAAAACGATAATCTAATTTTAAGAAGCACCTACTTAAATAGAAGCCAAGAATATTTCCTGCTTAAATTAATACTAAAATTAAGTGGGGCACTTAATTTAAGCAGGGAATATTCTTGGGTCCTATTTAATTAGGAGCTTCTTAAAATTAGATTATCGTTTTTTCTGTGTTCCAACTATACGTAAGGTCAATTTATAAAATATTTTTAAATTATCTTCTAAAGAAGATAAAGAAAAATGTTTATATTTCCATTTAATGGAATAAAACAATTTATTCAAATTCTTATTATTCTCAAATTGTTTTTCAACTTTTACAGTACCACCTTGTAAGAAATAAAGATATCACATTAAATTTTAAACATTATTTTAAACATTACTGAAAAAATAATTTTAAAATTATTAAAAATTAGGTGCCACTATATCCTAACTTTACTGAAAAATTCGGTAAAATAAGGAACAAATATTCTCCCCGTTTAGAAAAATGAATTCAAATTTAGAGAGTACGTGACGTAAAAGTCTAACAATATTTTTCATTATATTATGTTGAGGAAATTATTTCTAATTGAAACACATTTTGTTTTTTTATTTCAGGAATTTTTACTTGCAATCGATGTGACGTCGAGTGGAACGCCAGAGGAAAAATTAAAATGGGCGTTTCGCATGTACGATGTTGATGGGAACGGCGTCATTGACATTCAGGAAATGACGAAAATTGTACAGGTAATGTCATATTATCAGATGCCTCAATATACAAACTTTTCAAGAAAATATCTCGGAAATATTTATTCACCTCAGAAACGCCAAGTTATCGAAAATTTATTAAGAATTAAATCCAATTTTCCGGGTTATTTTGTGAAAAGAAGTTTCTTTCATTTTTTATGTTCTTTTTATTCAATTATTTATTTTATTTTTTATTTATTTTATTTTTTATTTATTTATTTTTTTATCTATATACTTATTTATATATTTGGTTTCTTTATTTACTGATTTATTTACTTACTTATTTTAAAAGTTTATTTAATTTTAAAGTTTACAATTTTCATAAATAGATGAACTTCAAAAGATTTTAATTTAAAATTTTACAAAATTTCAATTTTGAATATATTTAATTCGAAATTTTTAATTTTTAAATTTTTTGATACAATTCTTTGCAAGAATTCAATGATTTTCAATAAATTAATTTTAAAATTGAATATAAAAAGAAAAATTATTAAAAATGTTAGGAAACAAAAAAAAAACAAACAACTAACTTTAAACTGCGAAAAGATTACCGGAATACAACGATTATTTATATAGATTTATATTTTTACTTTATTTACTTATTTATTTATTTCCTAAAGTTAATTTACTTAAAGTAAGTTTTAATTTGAATATTTAATGCCCGTGTTTCTATATTTATACTCTTTATTCATCATTAAGAATATAACGATTGGTGGCTTTACCTACTTTTACTTATGCATTAAAGAGAGTTTTAAGTGATATAACCAGACTTTAGTCAGACGTACCTATATGTCGCGTACAGAATATTTCAATCGCTCGCTTATTTAGACGATACTTATATTATTTTAATAGTTAATACTAATTTTTCACACATTTAGTAAACAATATTTAAGATAGGAAAATTTATTTTATTTACTCTCTAAATTTCAATTAGTAAAAATGTTTACTAATTTAAATTAGTGACTGACTTTTTGCTTTTGAATTATAGTAAATTTGGCTAATAAATTAGTAGAAATTACTATTTATTAGTCAAATTTACTAATTCAAATTAGTAACAATTTTTATTAATTCAAATTAAGAGAGTATTTAATTAACTCTAATAAATATTATTTGATTCAAGTAAATATTTAATTGATAATAGTCAATAAATCGGTTAAAATTTTTTTTAGTGTTTGAGACAATTTCGTAGTAAATTTTAAGAATATATTTAAAAAGAAACTATTGTCATAAATAGAAAAAATTGAAGTTAACGATAAATTAAATAAATAATATTTTATGATAGTTTCAATATTTAAATGTTGAATGTTATTAAAATGAAAAGAGTGATTGTATTGAAAAGCACGATCAGTTAAGCATTAACCTTTTGATTAGACTTTATATATCTTGTTCTTTGACTTTTTTTCTCTATTAATATTTTTTTACTTCCACTTTTATCAATGTCTGGAGAAATTCTTCTAATAAATCCCCATTTTCTTTGAGAGGCTTTCCTCACAATCGATTTTACTTTTTAAACATCAGTTCTCTCGAGTTTAAATTTAATAAATGGAAAAGATTGAATTTACTCTGTCGTTCATGCATATATATATATATGTATATAAAGAAATGAAAAAGTTAAATTGTTAAAAAGACCCCCGCGCTTTGTATAATAAAGAAAAATATTTTAATTTTCAATTTTCAGCCAAGGCTCGAAATCTCTGACATTTTCTGAGTATTGTTCGTTCGCTAATGAAACTTCAATATATTGGGATTTTAGAGTATCTTCAGTTTTGTGGAAAGCAAAGCTTGCCTTTCAGTGAAACGGAACAATAGAATCTCATTGTATATCTATTGTTATATAGAATTTAGTACGAATAGTGAATCGAAATCGCATCAGAAAATTTTAATAAAGCAATAGAAGTAAATAAATTCATTAAAAAAGATTTGACAAAACACGACAAGAAAAAAAAGAAGAAATTTCGTATATTAAAATATTCTCTCTCTCTCTCTCTCTCTTCTATACACGCAGATTGATTTCACCATCAGAAATATGAGAATTTTTCCGATAAAATACGAGAAAGAAGAGAAAAAAGAAAATGAATTCGAGTATTTTTGTATAAAACCTTCTGAATATGACAGAACAGTTTGAGAGGATATTTCGCAGGTTATTTCTACCTCGGGCATGAAATTGTATTGGTGCGCCAATTTACATTTTCTGGTAACAGAAAAAAGTAGGCTAATGGGGGACCACTTAAAGGAAATCGCAGACGGATTTCAGCGGCAATATTTGCGAATAAAAAAAAAAAAAAAAAAAAAAACGTATATATTGACGTTTAGAGTGCATTTTACTGCTATTAATTTACAGTGCATAAATTGGATCGCACGATCGTTCTGCAATTTAATTATGGATTTTCTATTAAATGGCAACAAGTACGGGAGCGAAAAGATAATAAACGAGAAATCTATTGCGGTCTTCAATTCCATTGCGACATAAAGAAATCTTCTTCTCTTCTCACTTGCAAAAATTAAAAATTAATTTACATACTAATGAACTAAAAATACTCTATACGTTTTTAAATCAATTTCCATAGAGCAGAACTAGGTCCGTTAATTCCGTAAATGTCCGTAAAAGACAGTTTTTTGAAAGTAAAGTAAAGTCCGTAATTATTTTCAAAAGCAATAAAATTCTTCCCAAAAATTCAATTTTGTTCAAAAATTTTTTAAAGTTCTCGTCAAAATTTCAATTATTTTTAGAAATAATTAAGTCCTTCTCCGAAATTCAATGATTTTTAAAAATTATCTATTATTTTGATAAAAAAAATAAAAATTTCACAAAAATCCAATTATTTACAAATTTTTGATCAATTTCTTTACAATAATTCAATTATTTTTCATAAATAGTACCTATAAAATTTTTTCAGGAATTTAATTACTTTCAAACACAAATTTTATAAAATAATACAAAAAATTATTATTTTCAATTATTTTTTAAAATTTTAATAAAATTCGTTTCAAAAATTCAATTATTTTTAGAAATTATAATAGAATTCATCACCGAAATTCAATTATTTTCACAAATTTTGATAAAATTCTTAGACAAAATTTCAATTATTTTCAAAAGTACTACTCTGACGTATTTCTGGCTACCTCTGGAGTCCCTCAGGGTTCTCATCTTGGTCCACTTTTCTTTATACTTTTTATAAATGACGTTAAACATTTATTTAAAAATAGTTTTTTTTCATTATTTGCAGATGATCTTAAGATTTACAAACAGATTACTTGTGAGAATGATAATCTTGATCTTCAAAAGGATCTTGACCGACTCTATAAGTGGACCATTAAAAATAGACTTCCCTTAAATATAAAAAAATGTAGCGTCATCTCTTTCACGAAACGTCTGGAAGTAATGAATTTTAATTATTTACTTGGTACTGAGTTGGTTTCCAGGGTTACCCAGGTTCGCGATCTCGGGGTATTCTTGGACCCTGCCTTAGATTACAGAAATCATATTCAGAACGTTGTTAATAGGGCAAATAAGGTCTTGGGTCTTATCACTAGGAGCGCTTCTCGCTTTAAAAATATTTTGGCATTGAAAACTTTATTTTTCTCATTGGTAAGGCCAATTATTGAGTTTGCAGCATCAATCTGGTCCCCTTATCAGGAATGTTACATCATTGTGTTGGAGCGTGTTCAAAACAGATTTATGCGTTTTGTTGCGAGACAATTAAGGTTACCTTTCGATTTCTTTAGTCACGACTACTCTGAACTCAGAAGGGTTTTGAACATACCCTTAATTAAACATAGATTTTTATACGCTGATTTAATTTTCATATTTAAGATCATTAATGGAATTATTAATTGCCCGTCGATTTTGTCATTACTGCAGTTTTTTGTTCCTTTCAGGCCAGTAAGAAACCCTTCTGTGTTCAAACAGTATTGTTATCGAACTGACTCTTGTGCCAACTCAATATTGATAAGACTGTGTAGAGAAGCAAATCAATACCATGATGTTATTGATTTTTATGGTATCTCATTAAATAAATTTATTATTGATTTACGTAGGCTAATTCTTGCTAATACTAATTAGATTGTCATAACTTCGCATTATATTACTTTCTATTTAATTTGTAATTTTTAGTACTCTATGTACGAAAGGGCACTGCCCGTTTATATGTATAAATAAATAAATAAATAAATAAAAATAATAAAATTTTTATAGGGATTCAATTATTTTCACAAATAATAAAATTATTTTTTAAGTTTTCATAAATAATATAACATTTTTAGAGGGATTCAATTATTTTTGTTTTCTTCGAAAAAAATTCGTAAGAATTTAATTATTTTTGAAAATTTTAATAAAATTCGTTTCAAAATTCAATTATTTTTAGAAATTGTAATAAAATTCTTCACCGAAATTCATTTATTTAAAAAAAAAAAATTGTTAAAATTCTCGTCAAAATTTTAATTATCTTTAGAAATAATTTAATTCTTCTCCGAAATTCATTTATTTATTTATTTTCAAAAGATTGAATAAAATTCTACGCAAAACTTTAATTACTTTCATAAAATAATAAAAATTTCACAGAAATTCAATTATTTACAAATTTTTTTATAAAAATTTGTTCACAATTAAATTATTTTCATAAATAATAAAATTTTTACAGAAATTTAATTATTTTCGTGTTATTCAATTAGTTCGTATTAAAATTTTTTTAAGAAATTCAATTATTTTCATAAATTTTAATAAATTTCTTGTCAAAATTTCAATTACATTTAAAAATTTTCCTCAGTTCGATGATTTTTATAATATTTAGTATTTTAATAAAATTTTCCAAACGAATTTAATTATTTGAAAATAACGTTAATAAAATTCCACGCAAACATTTAATTATTTTCATAAATAATAAAATTTAACAGGAATTCAATTATTAACAAATTTTTTATAAATTTATTCGCAATAATACAATTATTTAAAAATTTGTTGATAAAATTCTTTATGAGAATTCAATTTTTAGAAACATTCAATTATTATTCAATAAATTATTTATATGCATTTTATTTGTATTTAAATAATTGAATTTTTTGAATAAAAATTGATTTAAAAATGTATTTCAGTTGGACTAGTTATATTTTTGTCAGTAATAATTGGTCCGTAAATTGTCCGTAATTTTTTATCAAAATTTTATTTAATTTATTTGATTAATAAAATTTATTTAATTTATTTAATTTTTATTATAATACGCTCCGTAAAGTTTTTATTTTTTAATACTTTTACTGGTTCGAGCCCTGATAGCGTAAAAAAACTCAAAAAAAAAGTTTTTAAAATTGTTGAAAACAGATAAAATAGTATACTTTAAAGATTAAATACAAGATACTGGTACTAAAAACGTTTTGAAAAACTACTGCGGGATTATTTTTCCATCCGTTATATTTTTTTCAAGAGCATCTGAAGAATAAAGTTTTTCTTTTATTTCCTCTCTCTCTCTCCGACTTGAATCGACATTTACACATTTTGCGTCAGCAATAAAAATCTCATGCCTATTCTTCATTTTATGCACTCTCAAAATGTGCTATACATAAATTTTTCTACTGTAGTAAAAATTATTCGTTTCTCTTCACTTTTCCGTCAGCATTATAAAATAAAATAATTATTTTCACTGTTAAATATTTCATTCAAACAATGAATATATACCTGGAAATAGTGCTTTTTCATGTTAAAGGCAACATAAAGTTTTTTTTTTAATTTAAAAAGCTTTTTAAACTCATAATTTTCCTGACAAATTTAAATTAAAAGTTAAAATCATGATTCCCCATCTCTGTGTTTATTTAACAATTGAATTCTTTGACTAGAGGTAAAGGATTTTTGACGTAAAGAGAATTCTCAACGAATGTGAATTAAATGATAAATGTTAATTAATTTAAAGAGGAAAAGAAACGAATAATTACTTTAACAGAAAAAATAGCAAACAAATAATTAATTCAACAAAAAGAAAATAGAAAACAAATAATTCAACAACAAAATTAAAAAACAAATAATTAATTTAAAAAAAGGTCCATTAGAGAAAAGCAATTAATTAGTTTTTGTCTCGGTATTATTAGAAACAATTCTAATGTTGAATTGGAGGCAAAATTGAGAGTGGAAGAGCGGTTGAGTTCTAACACGAAAACCACATGATTGAGAAAACAATGCAGTGTAAACCACTTGAGCACAAAACGTTTCAGTCTACGCGTCCCGTGACTTGCGTTATATTCTCGAAATTGCGGTAGTGTGGGCGATTGTCTATTCGAATAAAGGTTCATGTAACCGTAAGAGTACTTTTATAACCAAGAAATGAATACATTTTAACTAAAGGAAAAATGTTACTTTAATAACCATCCTTAGTCATAAAAGCATAAAAACGTCAAATGTGTCCATAAAATTGTACTTTTCTTCAAATTCACTTTTCGAAAATTTAAATAATTTAATACAACTTAAAAAATTGTAATTTTACTCCTTTTCAATTATTCATATTTAAATTTTCTTAATTATGTGTCTTAAGGATTTTAACTACATTTCTGTGTTCATAAAATAATATTTTTATTCACGTTCTCTATTCTAAAATTTGGTAAATTTAAAAGATAATAATTAACAATTACAATTTTTAATTTTGGTATTTTTATAATGATATTTATCATTACTTCAATTTTTTCTATTTCTGGCAATAATTTCTTTTTAAATAACTTAATTCTTTAAGAACTTTCATAAAATTATTACTTAAAAATTATTTAATGAAAAATTTTACTTCAATATTTTAACATTAATTTTAAAATAGTTACAATTACAATTTTTATAAATAGATGAACTTTAAACGGTTTTTAATTTAAAATTTCAGAAAATTTCAATTTTTAATGAATTTAATTAGAAATTTTAAAGAACTTAGATTTTTGAAAAGTTTTGATAGTTAAAATTCTTCTGAAATTAGTTAAATTTTTTAATATATGAATAATTATTAAAAATAATGGATTATAGAAAATTTTTAGTTAAAACCACTAAAAAAAAACTGAATTTTGGAGAAGTTACAAATTATTGCAGAAATTCAATTATTTACAAAATTAATAAAATTTAATTATTTATTATTTCTTTAATTAATAAAATTCAATTATTTTCAAAAATTCTCGACAAAATTTCAATTATCATTATAAATAATAAAATTCTTTTAAGAAATTCAATTATTTTTAAAAATTTTTATAAAATTCTCAACAAGAATTCAATTATTTTCATAAAGGTTTAAAGAAATTAAATTATTTAAAATACAATTTTCAGAAAATTTATAAAAAATGTCCTGAATTTAATGATTTTCTTCCTTGGAATACAATAAGTCGAAAATGTTTGTATAAATGTTAGAAACAATTCAATTATTTTCGTAAAAAATAACATTCCTCAAAGCAATTCAATTAGTTAAGAAATTTTAATGAAATTCTTCCCAAGAATTCAATTTTTTCAAAATAAAAGTTTTTACAGGAATTCAATTATTTAAAAAAGAATTTTTTAAAATTCTTCGTCACATTTAAATTATTTTCAATTTTTTAATGAAATTTCTCGATAGTATTTAATTTTTTTTTTCAAAAAGTTTTAAATATTTCTGAGCAATTTAATTATTTAAAAAGATTTGAATAAAATTCTTCACAAAAAATTAATTATTTTCATAAATAATAATATTTTTCTCCGAAATTCAATTATTTTTATAAATAACAAAACTTATAGCACAATTTCAATTATTTTTTATACAATTTTGAATAAAATGATGAAAATTGCATTTATTCTAAATTTTTTTTTTAAATTTGGCGAAAGAATTCTATTATTTTTAAAAATTTTGATAAATCTCTTTCAAAAAAATTTAATTTTAAGGAATATGCAATTAATTAATAAATGATTTATTTTTGTATTTAAATAAATGAATGTTCGTAGAGTTATCTAATAAAAATTGATTTAAAAATAAATGTTAGTTGAAATTTTTGATAATAATGAAGAAAATGTTAAAATATGCTATTAATTAAATAATAATTGAATATTACAAGCATTATAGCGTAAATTTTTAAAAAGAATTGAATTTTCAAAAGTTTTAAATTAAAATCTTTGAAAATTTGAATTTTTCTTACTTTTAACAAACAATTCTGTGGAAGTAATTTTTTTTACACAAGTTTAATTGAATTTTTTAAAATTATTTGAAGTTTTTATTTTAAAATATATACAATTTAATTAAAGAATTTCCAAATTATTTCAATTTAAATTATTTTTCATAAAACTTTAATTGTATTCTTTGAAAAATGTAATTATTCTTAAAAGTTTTATTAAAATTCGTCGAAAGAATTCAATTTCAAGAAACATTTATTCATAATTTAATCATAATTTTTAAACATATTTCGTAATATAATTGTGTTTATAATTGACAAATAGAATTTATAAATTTTTTTTTCTTATATTTTTTTAAAAATCTTTGAAGTTTATATTAAAACAATATTGTAATTGAGAGAGAATTTTTTTAATCATAATTTTTAAAGATATTTCGTAATAACAATTGTGTTTATACAAGTATATTAAAAATAATAAAATAGAGATTTTAAGAAAGAATTTTTTTTCCTATGTTCCAGGCGATATACGACATGTTGGGCGCATGTTCAAGCAACAGGCCTGCAGACAGCGCGGAGGAAAGAGCGAAGAATATTTTTGCGAAAATGGACGAAAACAATGATGGCCAATTAACACAAGAAGAATTTCTCAAAGGTTGCTTGCAAGATGAGGAGTTGTCGAAAATGTTGGCTCCTTAATCTCGGCACGTTACATTCGAAGATGACGTTTCTGTATCGTCTTTCTAATCAATGCCATCACACATTCGTAGTACATTCATTCACATGAAGAAAGCACACCACGCTCTTCAAATGGTCAGACAAAAATACTTAAATTATTAATAAATTTTCATCTATCAATCAAAACACGTACACCAGATAATTATAGTGTTCAAAGAAATTTCCAATTTTTACTATCGTTCCATTTTCTTCAAATTGGAATGTTTTAATCTATCGTAATTCATTTTAATCGAATTTCGAATTGTGAAGAAAAAGAAAAGTCACAAATTTTTGGATTTCAAAATGTTTTTAAAGGTTTTGGATATTTTAAAGGTTTTAGATATTTAGATATTTAAAGATTTAACGATTTAAAAATTAAAAGATGTAAAGATAAAGAAAATGCAGATTTTAAACCATTCCGCATAAATAAATATCTGGTGTGTTGTTTTGATTTTTTAAAAGAGAAATAAAAATAAGAATATAAAGAGACCAGGTGACGTTCACTGGTAAGCCATCAAAGTCTGTGAAAAAAAAATAATAAATGTGAGCAATAGGAATTTTCGTGCTTCCATCGAAGAGGTTCGCGATTATTCGTGGCTTCGGACCAAGTCCGTAACGAATTTATGTGACGTGCTAGTTAATACGCCGCGATGCATATGCAATGCGATTGATTCAATTACTCGCATCTTGTGTCGAGTCAGAATTAACGGAAATTGCATCAAGACGCGTATGTACGTTGCTTACTGCTAGCCATATACGATAAACAATATTCTCCTACTGGCCAACGTATTGATTTTACCGCAATATGAAAGTCGGAAATTCACTCGTTCGCCAATATGTGTATCAAACGCGTACCCCTCTTATAATTATTATTATCATTATCATTATTATTATTATTATTACATAAAAAAAAGACTTTGTAACGACGCAACATCGATTTTAGCCGATAAAACACTGATTTTAATTATCATTAATTTGTCACGTAGAGCCCGAGTTGAGACAGTATTTCGTTCATTATTATTATCATATCTCTACGGACTGCTAAATAGTAAGCTCAAAAACCGAATCTTGAAAAATAATTTTAATCAAAAAAAGATCTGGAAAATATGATATCTCTTTTTAGAGATACGAGCGGAGTCGCAAATATAAAAGAAAACAACGAACATTATTTCTCCCGTGAACTAGTTTTTTTATTCTTTTTATTCAATCGTTGCACAAGTATTCTCGCACTAAACTTCATTCATTCCGAACTGAGTAGCAACTTTTCTTCTATTCACATTATTTAATATTAGGAAAATAGATTATTTTTTTTGTGAATCTTGAAAGATATCGAGAAAATATTGATTTACATTCGCGGTTGAAAAGCTCCTCGAACTGAGTATTTTTTAGTTTAGCTAGAACTGTGAGCTTGTTCAAAAAGGCAGAAAAACTGTTTCCTCTCGTGTGCTTTTGAACCATATGACATGTTGAAATCAACCTTTGAAGGAATTCGCAAAAAAAGGACAGAATTCGATTAAAGTTGTTGAATATTTTTCATTGCCAGGATGAATCTCGGGGTTTTCGTTCCATTCGCCTATCAAATATCAAAGTTTGATATCCGATAGACGCATATTTTGCCTTGAAATTCTGATTTTCATGTCGGGCGCAACGCTTTTCACGTTTCAAAACTAAATTCATGAATAGCGAGAAATCTGATCTCAAAGTTCCAATTTCTATTCTTTAACGTTCCTTAGAGAGAAAAGTTTGAGAGGACGGATTTTATCCTCTTAAACCTCACGTTCCAATCGTTTCTCAATTTCTCATCGAAACGATTTCACCAATCGTTTCCTTTTTTTCGGATAAGTTTACTGTAATCAACCATTAGTTTTTCCTGTTTTAGAATCGAAAAAAGAATTTTCTCTATTTCGAAAAAAGGAAGAAAACGCACAAATTTGCATAAGTTTCGAATGGCGAAACTTTCATAGTAATTCCGAGTCCAGAACTCGATGCACTTTGCATCTAATTATCACTGTCGCGTCTTTTAACTTAATCGTTTTAGGCTCTTAAGCAAACTTTGCAAGTTAACGTCATAAGGTCCTTAAATGATAGCAAAATCGATATAGACTAGCGTCTAAAATAGTGATAGAGTTTGACCAATTGCATGTTCTTATAATTAGGTAAGATGGATTCATCTCGGTCCGCAAATCATGCTCGATTGACCTCGTCGTCCGATCCCATTCAAACAAGGCTCTGAATCTTAAATTCGATTATCTTGATTTCCATTCAATCGGTATACAATTGCAAATCTTGTTATAGGGACATTCTAGATTGAATATTGATGACTCTTCTGTTCACATATCTATTTTAAAAATTCTTCTCGCGTTTCTCTATCTCGGCCAGAATTCAATCCATTTTTCTTTCTCACAGAACAATTTGACTTACTGATCAGAAATTTTAAACATAAATATCACGACGTGGTGTGAATTATGCAATAGAATTTAAGGAACTCGAAGTAATTATTATCTCTTTCGGATTTAGAACTGTTGCGAAATTTCGAGAATCACAAAAGGTTTTTTTTTCAACTTGCGGCGCGCATTTTATATGCAAAGTTACATTTTTCTTCGGAACCACTCAATGAATTTAAATAAAACTTTGATTTACACATTCAATCAGGATTTCTCGATATTTGAAAACTTGGATCGAAAACAGGATTTACGGCATATTCTGATTGTTTTTTCTTGGATTGACCTTTCGAAAAATGAAGATTACTTTCACGAACCCAAAGATCCAAAAAAGATGGAGAAAGGATTTTAAAGCAGTTTCTGCAAATTCCAAACGAAATGTTGCATTTTTCGAACATTTCGGAACAACAACTGTTTTAAAAATAGTCTTCCCAAGTACAAACCTCGAGACTCAACTTTTAAAACAGATTTTAATTATTTCCAAAACAAAATTCACACCATACGTCAATTCATAAACGTACCTGAAATTTTTCGGCTTCTTATTCTTTACATTGAATTTGGGATTGAAAAAAAATTCGTCAAACATTTAGACTAGGAACATATCATTGCATCCTTCCATATATATAAAAAAAAGTGATTCATCAATTTTAAGATTTAACTATAAAAACTACCTGCTTTCATTGTATCTATTCTCTAATATAAACATAGAAATTATCTCGAGTCAATTTTAAAAATAACCTAAAGAAATGAACTCTTTGACCGTTTTACTCGACATTCTCCAAAAAAAAAAAACTGTAATCTAAAGCAGGTCGCTTTTTTTAATTTGTATATATAAATAATAAAAAAAGAAAAACCGTACGGTTATACACGCACGCGAAAATGGACCAGCATTTCCAAAAAAAAGAGATGATGAACAATTTTTGAAAAAAAAATCCCGTTCATCGCGACAAGTTGTGTATGGCAAACGAAAAAAAAATGGAAAGTCGAGTAGGCGTACTTAATAGAAAGTCGAGCACTGACAATCGAAATAATACATTTTACGAATGATTATGAAAATCGTATTAAGCGTAGGCGTCGCGACGGAAGACGAAAGCAACGGGTATTAGAATCAAAAATGTGTTCTTGTCCCACCTATTAATACCAAAAAGAAAAATCCTCAAGAACCTTATTTTTGGTTCTTTACGAGAATTTTGAATTTTCTGTTCTCCATTTGATACATAAAATTGCAAAAATACAATTAATGCAACATTGCTCGAATTCGAGGCAATGAGAGGAAAAGTCAATTGAAGCCAATATACGAAAAAAAAAGATAAAAATTCATTTAGTCATCTCTTAAATTTCCGCGATTTTATATTTTTCTACTCCCCATCCTCGTGTCTTTCCTTCAATTTCCAAACGTTTTTCTTTTTCAACATTTTTATTATAATTTTTTATTACTGTGATATTTCAACTTTTTTAATATTATACCTTTAAAAAAAACACATCTTCTCAATCTTATAATTAGAATCAAGAGCCAGAAACTCTGAGAAAAGATTCTTATTTCCTACATTGCTTTAGGTTATATTTTTCTCCTCTTGAAAGTACTTTATTCATGAATTTTATTTCTGAATTCAGATTTTTATTTTTAGATTGAAATTTTAATTTCCTATTTATTACTTTCCTGCGTTTTCTACATTTTAAAATTCTTTGTTTTATTTTTCTATTCTATTTTTCTATTCTTTTCTTACTATTTCATTCCATATTTCTTGATCTCTCTTTATTTCGAACAAGTCTCTATATAAACACATATATATATATTTTTGATGATGATAGAACTTTATTGTTTGTCATATTGATTCTTCTCTTGTTTTTCAAGTTTAATTTTAAAAAATTTTTAGAACTCGGCATTTCTTCGGTTTATGAACCTTATTCAATTTCCAATAAAAACCCCTGAAAATGATAGTTTACAATAAACGTTGCCATTCAAGTTTTCGCCACCGTTAAATCAACGAATCACATCGAAGAGGAAACGGTACGAGACAATTGGCAGTAAACACCTTGTTTATGGCAAACTTTGTTGTAAATCGAATCGAATTTCCCGTCCTTCTCGAATTTCTTATTGATTGCACATAATGTAATATATACGTAATCTTTCCACTTCTTTTTCACTAAAAAAAAAAAAAAACATACGTCGTTCAAATTACATGGCATTTCTGTTCACGATAGCAATGGTCATTTTTAATAATAATTTAAAAATAATTTACAAATTTTAATAATCTAATTTTTTAATAATGTTGAAATTGGTGATTTTTTCCGAATATATTTTCTTTTAACTTTTATACCAACTGGTTTTTTTTTAATAACTTTTTCATTTTTACTGTTACATGAAAAAAAATTTTAGCTGTATTTATTTTGGGCAAATTTTCAATAAAAAGTATTTATGATTTCGGAAAATCAAAATCGAATCTTTAATAAAGCAAAAGCGAACATAAACGAAAATTAAAATTTTTTGGAAAGCAAGAGGCCTGAAGAGAAATTAATTTTGTAGAAGGAGACAGATAGTATTTTATCGTCCCCTTTTCTTTCCTTGTCTAATGACGCATGCGCACTAACGGAACGCACATTTATCGAGTGTTTACTATTTTTCTTTACTTATAAAAGATTTTTTAGACATTTAACGATTCGAAATGGTTCAAAATTGTATTTCTTGTCATCATTGGTAGAATTTTCTACCGGTAATTAATTGTTAAATTAAAAAAATTAGTTTAGTGTGTTAATTGATTTTTAATTTAATTTAATTAAATTTTTTAATTTAATTAAATTAATTTTTTTTTATTTTTTAAATTAATTAAATCATAACCTTAACCAAAAAGTTAATCGGCTTCAATTATTAAAGCCGATTAACTTTTTGGTTAAGGTTATGATTTCAGATTCCCTAAACTCTTAAAAATTTTAGGTTATGTTAATGTCACTTTTTGCTTTCTTAAAGATTCGATTTTTGATTTTTTTATAATCAGAAACACGTTTTATTGAATTTTTGTTTATTTAAATATTAAATTATGTTAAATATTTTGTCCGATGAATATTAATGATTCGAAACCAAAAGAGAGTAAATTCAGGGAGAGTTATCTACAGATTCCTGCACCGACATTTACCGACACTCTTCTAGCTTTGCACATGCGCGGAAACACAACAGACTTGCAGAATAAAATTAACTGTTGACGTAAATCAGTGTATATCACGTTTATAAATTGTTTTAAATTTTTTTTTTTTTAAATTTAGTTTTACAACAGTTCGTGTTTTCTTAATTTGGAAATTTATTAAATTACTCAGCGAATAAATGGGAATAATTTCAAACAATCATCATTGCTATCGTGAAGAATAGAAATTTCAGTATATATATATGACTTTTCTTACTCGTCGTGTATCGTTACACAAATTTAGCTCGCAATATTATTAATAATGAATAATGCATTTTACCGTATAAGTATATAATAAAATATTCAATATGTTACATAAGGTTCACTAATTGTTAGATATTAATCGCTATACTAATGTCGATATTAAAGCGAAAATGAAGGTGAATATTGCTATCGAGAAAAGTATTTTCATATTCTCAAAAATAAAATCTCTTTTTTCTATAACAAAAAAAAAAAAGAGAGAGAAGAAAAAAATAACAATTCTCGCGGATCGTTGAAGAAACGATTTGTAAGCAGCGCTTTTTTATAATTTAATAGAAAAAAAAATATAACGAAGGAGGAGAAATGTGTATTGAAAGTTGTTGCATTGAAAAAGCTTTTCTCGATACCATTTTCCCTTCGTTTCGCTCTGCTCGTCCGCGACTGACGTGGTCTTGCACAGATCCTTTGTCCGAAATAACGTTATTATTGTTGTACTTGTTAGTTAAGCGCATTTTATATATAGTTTAATTTAGAGTTTACTGATGATTGTCATTTACCACAATCTCAAATCCTATTAGTATTCGTCACAGTTATATTATACATGAGATTTATTTCCGAATGGAAAAAAAAGCCAAGTGATTGTTTTTTCGATACTTGACGTTTTTTATTTCTATTTTTAAAGTTGGGGAATTTCAATTAGTGGCAAAATTAGTTAAATTAATTAATTTTCGTCGAATTGATGTGAGAAATTTTTTTTCCGAGACAATACGATATTAACAATTGTTTTATTCTTACTATCGATTAAATGACTCTTGATGTACGCTTTCACAATTATATAAGTCTACTTTTTTTTTGCAACGCGAGAATAAAACAATCAAAAAGAGCACAAAGAGTGTTTAAAACAAAGCAGGCTTTTAAAAAAACTGTGAAATATGTTTTTTCATTTTTTTTAAATGCGAAAATAGTAATAATAACAAATTCGAAACTATTTCTATTATGAATTCGTATTTTTCAAGTATGACTAATTTTTCTCAAATGCTTTGAAAATGGTTTTTTAAATACACTTCCTTCATAAGGAAGCTAATAATTATAATTTTATCTAGCAAAAATGTCAAGTATCGAAAAAAGCACTATTTCTAATTAAATTGTAAATGTAGTACTCTAAAAAAAAATCGCATATTCAAGGCATATATCCATCGGTGTCTTTACTTATACGCCATCATCTTTGTATATAAAGGCATTAACAGTCAGATATAAAAAGAAAAGAAAAAAAAATGTAAAGGACAAATGCTCGGCAATAAAGACACATGTTTTGTATACTCAACAACAAAAGCTCTCTATTGAAACGAGCTGCGAATAAAACTGTGAGTCCTCTCATATACATATACACATAGAGAGCTGAGACGATTGACAGGTTGTGAGATCGATTCGAGTGACAACTTTTGTTCCCGCGAAGACAGTCCACAAAAGTATTTGAGCAGTCAATCGATAGTTGACTCTCGCGGATATGGAAATCTCAAAGCAAAAAAAATAGTAAAATACTCAAGCGATCATTCCTCTTTCTTGTATATATATATGTCTCTATATATACATTTAAGGGAAATTTAATCCGGTCTATATTTCATATCCGGTGTTGATATTTTTAGAATAATCTTATCTTCAGAGAGAAAGAACTTCTTATTTTTTCGTGACAGGCACCTGATTTCGAATTCAGAGGATAAAAAAAAAAGAGGCGCGAAATGTCTGTGACCTTATTCCGAGTATTCGCCCCCACGTGAAACCAAGACGTAAATATTGTTCTGTTCAAACAATCAAAATGACCCGTATTTTGTCCGTGGGTTGTAACTCCGATATACCTACAATATTATTATATAATTATTACTATACTATTATTATTATCATTATTATTATTATTATTATTACAATTATTATTATTAAAATTACTATTATTATTATTATTATTATTACTTATTATAATAAATCGCACTATGCTCTAAATATGTACTTTTGTTGTTTTTTCACAAAAAAAATTTTTTCTGTTACAGAAAACCGACGAAGAGTGTGTATGTGATTCCCCCTCCATGTTTGAACTGTGTCGAGTGAATGAACTTTGTTTGTGAAAAATGTGAATTTTGTCTGATTGGTATTGTATTTTATGTATGGTTATATTTATTTCCTTATTTTGAAATAATGGACAATTTTATCGATATTTTTTTACCCTCAAAAAGCTCATTTTATTGTGAGGGTGAAAGCGAATTGAAATGTGAAATTAACAGTAATTTGTAGGTTATAAAAAAGTAGCGGGAAAAAAATTGTCCGCACATTTGCTTCGCGCATGCGCGTCCAGTTTTTTTCCCGCTGCCAACCCAAACGCGAAAAAAAATTTTAGGTTATGTTTGCTACAGTTTTTCTTTAATTAATAAACAATTTTGATATTTTGCGAAAGCGAAAGTGATTCTTGAGGAATGTTTCAAATCTAAAGAAGATTTAAATATCATTAGTTTGCACTAAGAGTTGATTTAGTTTATGTATTTTTACCTTAAAATTAACAAGCGTAACCTACAATTTTTTTTTCGCGAAAGGTACCTTTTACAATCGAGCGTTAAATATACAAAACTAAATATATGTCGCATTTTTTTATCTTTTTTTTATTCTATCAGGGTTGCCATAGATCAAAAAATTTAGGGAAATGTCAGGAAAGGTAAAATTCGTCAGGGAAAAATTAGCGAATTTTATCAAAAGTGCTGGAAAAATACTAAATTTCCAGAATACATAAAAAATTAAAAACAAATTCTGGATACTTTTGAGCCTAGTAATCTTTGAAAAAATTATTAACAAGATTTAATTTTTCTTGAATTTTTAATTCAAAAATTTTTATCTACACGAATTTTAATGCAAAACCTTTAATTTTTTCTACTTCAGACAATAATTAAACTTTACAGAATATATGAATTTTAGTCAACTTTAAATAATTTAATTCTCGAAGAACGATCATAAAATTCCACTCATATATTATTTACAGAATAATTTTACTTAAAAATTCCTAAAATAATTAATTTTCACGACAGTTGCATTAACAATTTTGATAAATAATTGAATTTCAAAAAGTTTGAATTTGCAAGTATAGAAATTTAAATTTTAAATAATTTAAAGTAAAAATTCTAAAAAAAAGGTAGTTTTCTGAAGAATATTTGTTTAAATTTTCCTAAAATTAGTTAAATTTTTATATTTATTGAAAAATTTTCAAAAAATCGAAATTTCGTAATATTATAAGTATAGTGCAAACAATTAAACCTTAGAGTATTTTATGGTAAACTTTCTTTTTTTCTTCGAATAATTGAATTCTCAAGAAACTTTTTTAAAAATTATTAGAAATAATTGTATTTCAAAAGCTTTGAATTTAAAATTATTGAAATTTAAATATTTAATAATTTAAATTAAACGTTCTGAAAAAATTAGTTGTTTTTTGAAAAATTTATTTTTACTTATTTTTCGGATTATTTATAGTTTCGAATATATATATTTAATTGAAAAAAATTAAATTGAATTGAAAAATTTTTAAAAATCCGAAAGTTTGTATTATTTTATTGTAAACAAGTAGATTTTAGAATTATTTCAGGTGATCTTTCTTTTTTTCCTTTGAAAAATTGAATTTTCAAGGAACTTTTTCAAAAATTATTAAAATAATTAAATTTAAAAAATTTTGAATTGAAATTTCAGAAAATTTTAATTTCAAATAATTGTAATTGAAAGGTTTAAAATGGTTAATTTTTAAAAACTTTTTATTCAAATTTTTTTGAAATCAATTAAATTTCGTAAATCTGAATTGTAAATAAATGGATTTCAAATTATTTTAGAAGAATTTTCTACTTTTTTTTGAATAATTGAATTCCCAATAATTATTGAAAATAATTGATTTAGAGAGGAATTTTAATTAAAAATTTCAAAAGTAATTGATTCAGAGAAGAATGTTAGTTAAAAAATCAAAAAAAAATTATTTTGAAAAGAGTTTTAGTTACAAATTCCAAAAATAATTTATTTAGAGAAAGAATTTTAGTTCAAATTCCAAAAATAATTGAATTTTATAAAAGTTTCGTTCATAAATTTCATAAATTCTAATTTATTCTAATTTTAAAAGGTTTTAAATTGAAATTTTAGAAAACTTGAATTATATCTAAATTTAGTTGAAAATTCTAAAGAAGTTAGTTTTTTGAGAAATTTTTATTCAAATTGTTTTGAAATTTTGTACAATGGAATTCTAAACTAGTAGACTTTAGAATTTCTTTAATTTAAAAAAAATTTTTTTTTTTTTAAAATAATTGAACTCTTAAAGAACTTTTTAAAAATTATTTTAAAAAATTGATTCAGAGAAGAATTTAAGTTACAAATTTCAAAAAATAATTAAATTGAAATCTTGAGAATAATTTTGGGGAAGTAACAGTATTGTAAATTAGAATATCCTTTTATGAATTATAGAAACAATTAAAATCCTCCTTAGAACTCAGGAAAAAGTAAGGAAAAAATAAACTCTCATTTGTGTGGCAACCCAGACAAGAGTAAATTTTAGAAAACACTCAAATAGAAAAAATATTCGTTCACTTAAATGTTCAAAACTTTAAGAATCTAAACTTTAAGAATTGAAAATAAAAATTTTTTTTTTTAATTTTAAAGAAATCTTTAATGTTTCAATTTTTCAAATAGTGAAAAATACATAATAAATTATTTAAATATCTAAATTCTATAAAATTTACGAAAAAAAATTACAATCGCTTGTACATAATATTGAAGATTTAATTTAAGAATGTAAATGTTAATTAATTCAGATCTGCTAAGTTTTCAACGGCCCTGAAGACTTGTTCCCTTGAGTTTTCTATATAGATTAAATATATAACTATATCTCTATGTGTAATGTAATAGATGAAATCATTGACCTCAAGGAAATTCTCAGCGGATATCGAAATTCTAAGTGATAAATGTTAAGGATAAAGTAAAGTTGCTTTAAAAGCGAGACCTCATAGTAAACTAGGTCGTAGAAAGCACCTCCCAAAGCTCGGAATTTTTACTCGGAAAATAAACTTATTTTTTCAATTGTGTTGTTTCACTTTTTCCGATGTATATATAGGTATATTTATTTTTACTTTTTTATTAGTGAATAAACGCAAGCTTAATGGAGATTATTTTTAAAAAGCAGTCAAATGAAAACATAATTAATTTTTTTTTTGTCTACTGAGAGTAAAAAGTGTTTAACGCGCTCCGAAGAAGGGGTATTAAGTAATAAAAATTTACAGACCATGTTTATGATTATGATAGTTTTACCGTTGACCATCTTGAATAAGGATTACTTTTAAAAACGTTATTAATTTCACTAAAAACTTTATTTTTGATTTTTTGATTTTAGATTTTAGATTTTTGATTATTGATTTTTGATTTTTGATCTGATCTATTTTTGATTTAAAAATTTTCGAACTTTTGACTTGAGCTTTTTGAGTCCAAATTGTTTTACAGATCAAATGATCTGTGAAACAATTTGGACTCAAAAAGCTCTAACATAGTGAGGAGAGAATATCTCGATTATTATTATTACACGGAGAAAATTTGTTCCTTATTTTATTGAATTTTTCTGAATAATATTTCAGAAAGATTAATTTTCTATTAATTAATTTAATAATTTCAAACTTGCACTTTTATTCAAAATATGTATAGCTTTAAATTTTAACACAAAAATTTGAGAGTATTAAGGATTTGAATAAATTGTTTTATTCCATTAAATACAAATTTAAACATTTTTCTTTATAATAATAAAAGCGTAATTTAAAAATATTTTATAAATTGACCTTAAATATAGTTAGAAATGATTCATATTAATTATTGTTAAAATAGATAATTTTTTATTTTCTACAGCAGTAGTTTATTAATTTGAATCTTTCTCACAAGCGGTGAAATAAAAGTCAGATTAATATATAAGGACAGTTGAGTATTTTTCTCCGTGTAGTGAAAAATTTGAAAGAAAGCGAAAATGACGTAAAAAATAAAGAATATTGTCAAAGGTAAATAATGGAGGAGAAAATAGAAATACTAGTTTAATCATGAAAATGGGTAATGTAAAATTGAAATGGGAATGAAAATTTGACTACTTTTGAGAGGCAAAGTTGTGTATTAAAATGTAACACGGTGGTTAATCATTTGTGCATCTTCTGTTTTGCAGGTGTGCCTGGTGTAAAGTACCAGCCACGAAGTTTGTGGTGCACATAGGCACACGTAGGCTAGTAGACTAGAGTTGGCTCTTACATATTTAAAAGGGATTCGAGATCCAGCGAGGTGAACTCCTGGAGCGGCGGCGCCTTCAACGATGGGTAAACAGAACAGCAAACTCAAGCCAGAAGTGCTGGAAGATCTTAAACAAAACACCGAGTTTTCAGGTGACTCAAAATGAATATACTATTGCGAAAAGTGCTTCGGGGATTAGATGCTTTTAAGGTGTTTTTCAAGGTCCTTAACCCTTATTTTCAGTAGTCAGTTCCTACGAACATTCAGTTTTTCTTACTCGCATACATAATAGTTAATCAACAGCTCATGAAAAATTTCGGAAAATCTAGATATTGTTCAAGGGATAATATTTTTTCTTAAATTAGTTCATTTTTCTAGAACTATCATAAAATTATTATTTGTAAAATATTTAATAAATAATTTTACTTCAGTATTTCAAAATCAATTGAATTTTAGAAGAGTTGCGTTTATACAATTTTTATAAATAGATGAACTACAAAAGGTTTAATTTTGAAATTTTAGAAAATTTCAATTTTGAATAAATCTAATTAGAAATTTTAATTTTTAATAAATTTAATTAGAAATTTCAGAAAATTTCAATTTTAAATAAATCTAATTAGAAATTTCTGAGAATTTTAATTTTGAATAAATTTAATTAGAAATTTCAGATAATTTCAATTTTGAATAAATCTAATTAGAAATTTCAGAAAATTTCAATTTTGAATAAATTTAATTAGAAATTTCAAAAAATTTCAATTTTGAATAAATTTAATTAGAAATTTCAGAAAATTTTAATTTTAAATAAATCTAGTTAGAAGTTATAGAAAATTTCAATTTTGAATAAATTTTATTAGCAATTTTAAAGAACTCTTAATTTTTGAAAAATGTTAATAATTCAAATTCTTCTAAAATTAGTTAAATTTTTTTAAAAATATTTAATTAGTTATTAAAAATAAAGGATTTATAGAAGAATTTTAGTTAAAAACACTTTGAAAAAAATTGAATTTTGAAAAAGTTATAATAAATGATTGTAGAAATTCAATTATTTTCAAAAAATTAAAATAATTCTCGTGAAAATTTCAATTATTTTTATAAACAATAAAATTCTTCACCGAAATTCAATTATTTTCAAACAATTTCCTCAATTCAATGATTTTCAATATCTACCTACTATTTTTATAAAATTTTCACAGGAATTCAATTATTAACAAATTCTCTATAAATTTTTTCGCAAAATTTCAATTATTTTTAGTACAATTTTAATTGAATTCCACGAAAAATGTAATTATTCTTAAACATTTTATTAAAATTAATTATTAAAAATACTGAATTCATAAAAGAATTTTAGTTTAAAACAATAAAAAAAAATTAAATTTTGGAGAAGTTACAAATAATTGCAAAAATTCAATTATTTTCAAAAGTAATAAAACTCTTCTCCAAAATTCAAATAAGTTCAACAATTTTTTTAATTCTCGTCAAAATTTCAATTATCTTTATAAATAATAAAGTTCTTCTCCAAAATTCAATGATTTTCAAAAATTTCATAAAATTCTTGGCAAAATTTCAATTATTTTCAAAAATTTTAATAAAATTCTTGGATAATTTCAATTATTTTCAAAAATTTTAATTAAATTCTTGAAGAAATCTCTTATTATATTAAGTTGAAGAACGACCGACCGACCGACCGACCGACCGACCCTAGCCGTATATATATGTATATCTTTTAAAAATAATATTAACACAAATGTATACATATTCACAATGTCACGCATGCGCAGTAGTGTTCTGTCAATGTTACGCATGCGCAGTAGTGTTCTGTCAATGTTACGCATGCGCAGTAGTGTTCTGTCAATGTTACGCATGCGCAGTAGTGTTCTGTCAATGTTACGCATGCGCAGTAGTGTTCTATCACTGTTACGCATGCGCAGTAGTGTTCTGTCAATATTACACATGCGCAGTAGTGTTCTATCACTGTTACGCATGCGCAGTAGTGTTCTGTCAATATTACACATGCGCAGTAGTGTTCTGACAATATTACACATGCGCAGTAGTGTTCTATTAGTGCCACGCATGCGCAGTAGTGTTCTGTCAATATTACACATGCGCAGTAGTGTTCTGTCAATGTTACGCATGCGCAGTAGTGTTCTATCACTGTTACGCATGCGCAGTAGTGTTCTGTCAATATTACACATGCGCAGTAGTGTTCTATCACTGTTACGCATGCGCAGTAGTGTTCTGTCAATATTACACATGCGCAGTAGTGTTCTATTAGTGCCACGCATGCGCAGTAGTGTTCTGTCAATATTACACATGCGCAGTAGTGTTCTGTCAATATTACGCATGCGCAGTAGTGTTCTGACAATATTACGCATGCGCAGTAGTGTTCTTTAAATATCAGGCATGCGCAGTAGTGTTCTATGAATATCAGGCATGCGCAGTAGTGTTCTATCAATGTCAGGCATGCGCACTATTGTTCTATGAATGTCAGGCATGCGCAGTAGTGTTCTATCAATGTGAGGAATGCGCAGTAGTGTTCTATGAATATCAGGCATGCGCAGTAGTGTTCTATGAATATCAAGCATGCGCGCATAACACCCACACATGTATACTCACACATATACACTAATCACATGTAGGGGAGAGTAGGCTACATTGAACCAGCGTCAACAGTGAACCACTTCAATTTTCTGAGAAATGACTGAGTGAAATTTTTTCTTATTTAATATATAAGTTAGTTTTACTGAAACAAACTATGTCCAAAAATTTCGGGCACGTAGGTTTATTATTTATAAAGAAAAACCGAAAAAACTGTTTTTCACGTACAAAACAAAAAATTTTGTGGAAATATAATCAAGTTTTTTTTTGAAATAGGAAGTTTTAAAAATTAGTAAACTTGTGATTTATTTAGCTTAGGGTGCCAACTTCAATATTCCGATGTGATAAAGAATTTTAACTCTTACATAAATTTATTATAAACAATTTTTGTTGTGAATGTCATGTGAATACAGTGAGTGCGGCATCATTGAACCACCCGAAAAAGCAAAGAATTTTCAATTTTAAGAGTTGTAAAATTGTCTGCTCTACTAATTAGTAAGAAAAATACTGGAAGACATGCTTTCATCACAATTGTGAACGAGATAAACTCAAACTGTCACTTTACCTACCTAACCTGACATTAAAATACATTAATCTCCTATATTAACAAGTAATAACAATTAAATAACAATTTTCTATTTTTTTGAGTGGAAAATAAGATTTTTTACAATGTGTAAGTGGAAATATTATTTTTGAAGTAAATTGTAGTGTTTTATTAAAGGTGGTTCAATGTAGACACACATTCTTCAAAATAAGAAAAGTGTAACTGGCTAGAAAAAAATTAAATTTTATTATTTAATCATAATAATTTGTGTTTGTAACGTGTGTATTAACTAAAGGAGTACTTCAGCTTAATTTTGATACAAAAACCTGATCGAAATTAGTAAAATTTTATTAGTTCTTGGACTTTATAAAATACCCGGTTCAATGTAGCCTACCCTCCCCTACATGTATACTCACACATGTTCATAAATTACATACACATGTATACTGCTCATATGCAGATATAAACTCCTACATATACACAAATCACATATATGTATAGATTTAATAAACGATTGATAATATAAATTGTTGAATTTTTTAAGGTTCGTTGATGCACGTAGTGTCTGTTGAAATTTTTTTAAATATACGTAAATACCTCACTCGCTAATGCTGCGCTGTCTGTGTTGTAATGGAACTTATTTATTTACTTGTGTATTTACTTATTTATTTCAGGGTTGCCACAAGACATCGATTTTAAAATTCCATGACTTTTCCAGGTTTTCCAGACCATTTCTTAAAAAATTCCAAACCAGAAATAAAATTGTTTTGGTATGTTTTTAGCTAATTACGACAAAAAGTATAAAATCCTTTAAGTAAATTGTTAACAAAATAAGTTATTAATTTTTAATTTCATTATTAACAAAAAATTAAGTTAAAATTTGTAAGGTTATTTGAGATACGCTCCGAAGAAAGATGAGGAGCAAATCTTTTTAAATTTAAAAATTTAGTTAAGTTTAGAATTTTTCACAATTATTAAACCAGTATTTTAAAAAGCATTTTAATAACATTTTATGAAACTGAAGTTACCTACGTTTATTCAATGACAATTTTTTCTTTGCTAATTATTTATTTTAATGTTAGAAGCCTTTTAAAAAATTTTAAAAGATCGAAGTCGGGGAAATTATTAATTTTGATTTTTTACACAGATTTTCGAAAAATCCATATATTATTTAAAGAAAATTATTATTTCCTCACCTCATAAGCAATTTTTTCTTTTACAAATTATTTATTTTAATGTGACAAGTCATTTAAAAAAATTGTAAGAGGATCTAAGGAAGGCAAGGAAATTAGTGATTTTTAATTATTTTTTCGTAGATTTTCCAAATATCCCGAAATTTTAACTAAATTATTATTTCCTTGCTTCAGAAGCAATTTTTTTCGATTGCAATTTTTTAAAGGGCTTCTTACATTAAAAAACAATTAGCAAAAGAAAAAATTTTCATTGCATAAAAGTTGGTAGCTTCAGTTTCATAACATTTTGGGGTTTCTAAAATGTATTAATTTAAAAATTATTTAAAGGAAGATAGAGACCAAAAGAAACTAAAATTTAGAAATGCCATATTGATTTCAATTGTAAGCACTAAATTTAAAATCAAAAAGTTGTATGTCAACTTGAAAACTTGAAATTTTTACGACTCAAATACAAAAAATTGAGCTTTTAGTATCAGGCTTTATAAAATTCCCTGACAATTCCAGATTTTTCAGGTTTTCCATGACTGAAAAAAAATTCCATGACAATTCCGGGTTTCCCAGGTTTTCCAGGTCCGTGGCAACCCTGTATTTGTTTGGCAGACATCAACAATAATTTTTTAAATGGATAATCAGTGAAAAATGACTTATATTTCTGTAAGTTAGTGTTTCACTTCGATCCGCGAATTTCATTTTTTCGAGCGATTATTTGGTTATCGTCTTTGGTTTTCAAACGATCATCTTGTTTATTCTTTTGTTAATTGTCAAATCGTATCGTCTAATTTTCTAATTGTCATCGACCGAACTTCTCGACTGCTTCTCG